CTCTCCTGCTCATTCACCAAGGTTAACCCAAGACCAGTCTCCAAGATCAAATCTTTGCTTAGATAAGGGGTACGTCAAGCTGAAGCTCACTTCACAGGAAGCCACACGTTAAACATTACCAGATGGTAGGGTTCTGTTTTCAGCTCTTAGATGCACCAAGCCTAAGTGCCAGCATATTTGGTTTGCTTTGAATTGAAATTTAATACCTAAATGGAGTTTAGAAATTGTAATATAAAAACAAATGTGGATTTATAGCAGATACAAAAAAATGAGACATGGATCAAGACATGGCTCTGGGGTCTGACCCGTTCCAGATGTTAAAGCTTACCACTTACTGGGCTCTAGATCTCACACTTAAAATTTCATGTAAATTGTGTTTTTCAGTCCAGTTAATTTTAGCTCTTTCTGCAGGAAATAGCTTCTTTACAAGAACTTGGTTTTTTTTGAGTAGTTTCTCTTCAGGAATTAGTTCAGTCTGATGAATGTAAAACTCAGAAGCCATTTGGAATTCTCCATCAGCTAAAAATCCTGGGTCATAGGTTATATATTGGAGCTCTGGGCCAGAAACATTCAATGTTTGCTGGAGAAATATAGTGAACAGTGAGAAATCAAGGCCTGGTCCACAGAAAACTGGAATTCTGAATTGGTCCTTATCATTTTTTTGCAAATGTGATTCATTAAAAAGAAAGAATTTTTTGTGACCCCTCTGCAAGCGACCGTGGCATGGTCCCACCTAACTTCTTAAGAAAAACTCTGTTAATACATACTGGGTTCAGATATTAGTCATCTTTCTCTAGGTTATCCTGCAATAACAATCAACACCAATAATCAGGCAAATAAAAAAATAATAAACAAAACATTTCTGTGGTTTACAACAACATGTTTCTATTTTTTGTTCATATTAATATACTGATTTTGGATCAGTGGCAGCTCTGCTGTTTCCTGAGTCTTCACCATCCTGGGACCCCAGCTCTTGGTCTTATGAGAGGGAAGAGTAAAAGATGATTGAATCATGCATTGATTTCCAAAGCTTCTACTTGGAAATTAGTACATCACTTCTGTTCACATTCTGTCGGCTAAAGCATTTCCTATGGCTGAGCCCATAGTCAATGGGAAGGATAAGTATTGATTGTGATAGGGAGGTCTTGCCAGTCACATGGCCAAGAGCATGGACATTGAATCCTTTTGTAGAAAGAGAAGTGAACATTCATGGAAAATTCATATTGTCTATTCCAGTTCACAAGCACAAAGGAAAGAGATTTTTTTGGAGGGGTGCAAATTTACAAGTCCTAGAATATTGAATGCAAGATGTGCTGCAACAATATTTGGCATCATTTTAGAGCATTTGATGAATTTTATTTTAGTATCTCTTTCAAAAGGGTTGTGGTTAGAGTATTGCCACATCTGGGATCCAGGGAGAATACAGGCTTTCAGAATTAATACGGTTTCACTTCCACACAGAGAGAGAAATACAGCCAAAATCAATTGCACCTTCTAGGTTTAGGGCCCTTGAGTCCTATAAGTTCCTCTTAAAACATTTGGACTGCAGCTGCCTTTGTCCTTGCTAAAGTCCTTGAATTTCATTAGCTGGAGCCCAGGGGAATGGCCCACTTGAGCTTGCTCTGATGCAGTTTGGCTGTTTTTCTTCCCTCTTGTCATCTTCTAATGGGCAAAATAGAAAAGAGAGACTACAATCTTAAAAGAGCCAAATGGAACCCTGGAGGATTAGAGAACAGGATGATATCTTACTCTATGTTTCAAGCTTTCTGCTTTTCAAGAACTATAATATGTCTGCATTTCTAACAAATATTGAACCAGCATTCCACACCTTAAAATTAATTGATCATCAAGAAATTTGTCAAATACCTATTTGCAAAGTTCTTTGTTAGATGCTGAAGGGGGTACAGAAAGTTTCTCTTCACTCAGAGATTTGCTGTTTGGGTAGGGAGAAATTTAGCATAACTTTACAACAATGTGTGAAATTTGTGTTACAGATGTAAGAGCTCCGAGAAAGGAACTGGTATAAGCCTGAGTCAGTGGAGAGGCATGTGATGTTTTATGTCAGTGGAAGACTATCATATGGCTGAACCATAACTTATTTAATCACCCCCCTATTATTAGACCTTTAGAATAGATTCAATTCTTGTGATTATGGATCATACTTTGATATGGAGCCACGTGTGTCTTTGCCTACATCTTAAATATCCTTTTGATCGAGTGTTAGAAGGGGGGTACTCCTGGTACATATTGTCGAATTATTTTCCAGTAATTTATGCTTCCACCAGTTATGGATGAGAGTAACCGTGTCACCATGTCCCCATCAGCTTTGAAGATCATACTGTTAAACTCTTCCCTTTCTTACCTGCTCCTCTTGGCCTACATAATTCCTACTCATCCTTCAAGTCTCAGTTTAAAGGTTATTCTTGTTGAGAAGTATTCCATAATCCCCTGGTGAGTTTAGAGTCTTTGGTTAAGCCAGTGGTTCTCTATATTTTAAGACCCTTTCACTATTCTGAATTAAAAGCCATTGATGATATAACCTCATTATACACATTATATTAAAAGAAAGTTGTAAGCATAACATTAAGGAGAAATAAAAGTAAAGTAACAAAATAAAATCCCATTCATTTCAGTATGTGAAAAGCCTAGGCAAGTTGCACATGAAGATAAAATGAAGTAGTCAGTTGTTTGTATCCTAAATTGCTGTGAATGCCACAGTATAAACGCACGATGACATGGCTATGTGGATTGGTGACTAATTTTTCTGAAATGGTGACTAACTGCCAGATTTTCAGGAGCGAAAAAGAAGACTCTTTTGATTTACACTGTACTTGTAAATCCTGGGAAATTCAATGAGTATTAAAATTGTGCAAAAATACTTTGTGTTTAATATGTAAAATAAAGCTAGATTTCGTACTTACTAACAGAACTTTCACCTGTACAGAATAACAGCACATCGCACAGGACTTAGGAGAATTTCCACATTTCAGACTGCCTTGTGTCTTTGGTCCCTACCCACTAAATGTTAATAGTGGCCCACCATCATTGTGATAATAATTAATATGAACACAAAAAAATGACCTCACAAAGTTTCCAAATGCCTAACTGTCGTACCTACTGAACCATTGGTAAAGTAATAATGAAGCTCCCTGCACCTCCCAAACATCACCTCATCATGCTTTTAAAATAATGTTCTTGCCTGTTCTATGTTCCCATGAGCAATGACTGTCTCTCACAGTGTTATTGCCAGCACAGGTGAATGAATTAATATGTGGATGGCTAGATCTTCCAGAATAATGTTATAGAACAGGAGTAAAATGTATATCCATTGAATAATTCCTGGTTCTGGTGAGAAGCCTCTGGTGTTTCCCCTTTAAAAAGGTTAAGAATAATAAGAGCTATCCTATAGTCAACCTTTTCTATTACCAGACATTCTGCTAAGGAATTCACACTATCATTTCTATTTGCTTCAACAATTCCATGAGCTAGGCTTAGATGTAGAAACTTGCTCAAGTTTATTAAGTGAGGAGGTTTGTAACTGACAGAGATGAGATTTGAATCTAGGCCCATAGACTGTGTTCATGGCCACTACACTATAAGATATTGGCTACTGATTTAGAACACGTAGTCCTTATTATATAATGGAAACTTTCTTTTTCTTCTTACTTTCTAAGAGTTTTGCTTTTAATAAATCAGGAAAGATCACAAACATTTTGGGAATTTATGGAGCTATCATATGGTATATTTTATTGGATCTATTGATGAGGTTAATTTGTAATTTATAATTTATAATTTTCCTTGTATTACTGTTATTCCCATATTTGATTTGGGATATAAAGCTAACAATGGACTCTGAATTCATTTTTTTAGAACTGTGTTTAGGATTTTCATGTCTATATTAATGGGTGAGATCAGTCCATAGCTTTCATTTCCATTACCTATGTTGGGATTTGGCAACAGAGTTCTGAGAAAAGTTGTTTGGGAATTGTTGCTTGTTTGAGGATGCCTTAGAATAAATTATATATGTGAATGATCTGTTCTTTAAAAGTTTAAAAGAACTTACCAGGTGGACCATCTTCTAGGAGTTTTCTTTCTTTAAAGGGGTGGGTAAGTAATGATTTGATGACATTTTCAATTTTATTCATAGCTTATGTGTATTCAGATTTTTTTATTCTTCTTGAGATGATTTTAGTAATCTATATTTTTGGAAATAACCCATTTTAAACATTCAAATATATTAGCATAGAGTTGTACATAGAACTATCATATTAAAAAAATTCTTAGTATCTGTGTGTTTGTAGCAACTTTGTCATTTTTAATTTTGTGTATTTGTGCTTATTTTGTTTTCTTTATTAGACTCACCAGAGATTTGACTTTTATATCCCCATCCCCCAACCTCCCTCAAAAAAAAAAGTTCTTGAATGTATTTATGAACTCTACTTTCTTTTGTATTTTATTTACCTGGTTTTGCTTTTATTTTTACTTTGTTCTTCCACATTTTGATGTTTTTTTCTAATTTTTTAAGTTGACTTTTTAGCTTCTGTCTTTTTCTTTCTCTATCTCTCTCTTTTTCTTTCATCTACCTTTCTGTCTTTTTTCTTTCAATAATAAAAACAGTTTTTAGTCTATGACTTCCTTTGATTATAGATTTGGCCAAAACTTACATATTTTGATAAGTAATATTCTCATTTATTGTTGTTTTCTAAGTAGTTCAAAATCGTATATTTATTTCCTCTTTGACATTGTAGCAATTAGGGAAACATCTTTAAAATTCTTATGCTTTGGGATTTTACTGGCTTAAAATTTTATCAGTATTTAGTTTTATCGCATTTTGATAAAAAATGACCCAATGACTACTTTAAAAAATAATACAAATATATAACCAAAATTAGATTATCACTAATTTTGAGTCTGCCATTTTCTCATCTCCAAAAATTGCCAGTACTGTCAAGGTAATTTTATTGATTAGGATTACAGATTGATTTTATTTCTCTCTTTAGGTTCGAGATTATCAAACCTTACTTGGGAAAGTCTGTGGCAATGAAACTCTCTCTCACTTTAAATCCATTACTAATGTTATCTGGATAAGGCTTAAATTGGATGCTTTTGTTGAAAAAGCTAGTTTCAGAGCTGTTTATCAAGTCGGTAAGGAAACTTATACTTAATTTTTTAATTCCAAATTTGCCTGATTGTAACATTTTAATTTCTTGGGATAATTTAGTCGTTTTATGTTCTCAAGTATCGAGGAAAATATTCTCATAGAAATGTCACATTCCATTATCTCCTTAGTCAGAATTAGATTTCACAATAAAAATGAGGGCAAAAATTATTTTCTCTGGACAAACATACTATCATTTTAATATTTACAGCTTGTGGGGGTGAATTAACTGGAGAAGGGGTCATTCGCTCACCTTTTTATCCAAATGTGTATCCTGGAGAAAGGATCTGTACATGGACCATCCACCAACCCCAAGGTCAAGTAGTTCTTCTCAACTTCACTGCCTTTGAAATTGGAAGTTCTGCTCACTGTGATACAGATTATATCGAGGTAAGAGTAAAAGAAAAAAAAAATCTGTGAATATTGGATTTGGTTATATGCTATTAAAGATATATCATGTTACCCTCAAATCAATGACTTAAACAGAAGTCGTCTGTACTGACCAATATCTCTAATGAATGTAGAAGCATAATCTTCAACAAAATACTAGCTAACTGAATCCGACCAACAAAGAGAATTAGACAGGATGACCAAGTGGGATTTATCTCAGAAATTGTAGGCTAGCATAACATTCAAAAAATAATGTAATACATGGTGTTAATAAAATAAAGGACAAAATTCACACAATCACCTCAATAGATGCAGAAAAAGCATTAGATGAAATCCAACACCCTTAATGATAAAAACACTCATCAAACTAGCAATAGAAGATAATTTCCTTAATCTGATAAAGGGCATCTGTAAAAAATCCACATATAACATCACATTTAATGATGAAACACCAAATGCTTTGCCCCTATGATCAGTACAAAGACAAAGCTATCTGTTCGCACCACTTCTATTTAACATTTTAGTGGAAATTCTAGCTAGAGCAATTAAGCAATTTTAAATTAAATTAAATTAAGCAAGGAAAAGAAGAAAAGGCAACCAGAATGGAAAGGAAAGAGAAAACTATCTCTATTCACAGATAACATGATCTTGTATGTGGAAAATCATAAAGAATCCACATATTAAAAAAAAAACTATTAGAACTAATAAACAATTTAGCAAGTTGAAGGTTATAAGATCAAAATATAAAAATCATTTTTTCTGTACACTAACAATTTGAAAATGAAATCAAGGAATCAATTCCATTTACAATAGAATTAAAAACAGTAAGAGTTAAGGAATACACTTTTTAAAAAGTGCAAAACATGTACTCTGAACACTATAAAAGATCACTGATGGAAATTCATAAAGACCTACATAAATGGAAAGACATCTCATGTTCATGGATTAGAAGACTTAATATGAAGTATTAATATTAATAGTAGATGGCAATACTCCCGAAATTGATCTAAAGACTCAATTTAATTCTTATCAAAATCCCAGCTGATGCTTTTGCAGAAATTCACAAGCTGACTAAAATTCATATGAAAATGCAAGGGAACCAAAATAAACAAAGTAATCTTGAAAAAGAACAAAGTAGGAGGACTCAAACTTCCTGATTTCAAAACATAGAATAAAGCTACATACAGTGTGTATTGTAGTAAGGGTATAAATATAGATCAATGAAACAAAATTTAAATTTCAGAAATAAACTGATACTTTTATGGATGATTGATTTATAAAAAGGGTGTCAAGACATATCAATGGAGAAAATAGTTTTTTCAATAAATGTTGCTGAATACTCGTATGCAAAATTATGATGTCGAACCCCTTCCTTATACCATACACAAAAATTAACTAAAAACGGATTAAAGACCTCAGTGGGGGGACTAAAACCATAAAACTCTTAGAAGAAAACAGGAGTAAATATTTGTGACCTTGGGTTAGGCAAATCCTTCTTAAATATGACATGAAATGCACACAAAACAAAAGGAAAAAATAGAAATTGGATTTTGTCAAAATTAAAAACAAATAACCTGATTTAAAAAATGGGCAAAGGGTATGAATAAATAGTTCTTCAAAGAAAACATTTGAGCGGACAATAAGCATGTGAAAAATGCTTGACATCATTAGTCATCAGGGAAACACAAATCAAAACCACAGTGTGATTCCACTGCATACCCACTGGGATGGCTGTAATCAAAAAGTCAGATAATAACAAATGTTGGCAAGGAAGTGCAGAAATTGGAATGCTTATTTACTGCTGGTTGGAATGTGAAATGGTGCAGCCACTTTGGAAAATAGTTGGCTGTTCCTCAAAAAGTTAAACAGAGTTACCATCTGATCCACCAATTCTACTCTTAGGTATATACTCAATGGGGAATGAAAATACATGTCCACACAAAAATTTGTACATGAATATGCCTACAAACATTATTTATATTAGTATGTGCAAATAGTAAATACAATCATTATTCATAATTTAAAAAGTAAAAACAACTTAAATATCCATCAACTGATGAATGGATAAATAAAATGTGGTATGTCTATACAAATAAATATTATATGGCATTAAAAAGGAATGAAATAAAGATATGTGCTAGATTAACTTTGAAAACGTTATACCTGTACTACCTGAAAGAAGACAGTCATAAAAGACAACATATTGCATCATTCTGCGTGTTTAATATGTCCAGAATATGCAATCTTTAGAGACAGAAAGCAGATTAGTGGCTGCTTGGGGCTCCAGTTTTGGGGAATGGGGAGCTAATGGGCCTGGAGGTTTTTTTTGAGGTGACTAAGATATTCTAAAATGTATTCTCAAATTGATTTTTACTATCTTAATACAAACATATCAGAAATAATTATTCTTAAAGCAGTTTTCCAAAATAGATATTTAACAAAATAAGCTAGGATATGTCTTTTTTACTTTCTTTTTTTTTTTTTTTTTTTTTACTTTAGATTGGTAGCAGTTCCATTTTGGGTTCTTCTGACAATAAAAAGTACTGTGGCGAAGACATACCTTCATTTATAACATCTGTGTACAATTTTCTTTTTTTTTTTTTTTTTTTTTTTTTTTTTTTTTTTTTACTTTAGATTGGTAGCAGTTCCATTTTGGGTTCTTCTGACAATAAAAAGTACTGTGGCGAAGACATACCTTCATTTATAACATCTGTGTACAATTTTCTTTATGTCACATTTGTGAAAAGTTCATCTAGTGAAAATCATGGTTTCATGGCTAAGTTCAGTCCTGAGGATTTGGGTAAGAGACAGTCCCTTTCTCCTCTCCTTGGGTTTATTTCAGAATAAGTGCATACTGGAAATAAATTATTATATAATAATCATCTACATTGTGAAAAATTTTAAAGTACACTCAAAGGCATAGAATATATGTACATTATATATTCTTTGAGGGTTTGTAGTTTTATATATATGTTCTAATCAACACTGATATGTGTTGATAGTTAATTGTTACCTATTAATAAGAGATAAATTAGGTTATCTTAAGTGGCATATAAGGAACATTTTTCTTTTAGAGTTTTTAAGAGGTGATAATCAGATTATTTTATTTTGAAATCCAGATTGCTTATTAATTACTTGTTTTGATAATTATTATGATTTTTTATTTCAACAGCCTGTGGAAAAATTCTTACAGAGTCAACAGGAATCATTCAAACTCCAGGCCATCCAAATATCTACCCCCATGGTGTCAACTGTACCTGGCATATATTAGTCCAACCTGGCTACCTGATTCATTTGGAGTTTGAAACATTTCATCTGGAGTTTCATTACAATTGCACAGATGACTACCTGGAAATTTATGACACTGACTCTGGGACATCTCTTGGGAGGTGAGGTTATTTTGTTTTTGTTTTTCAACACAAAAATGTCCTGCTTTCTTGCTTTCCTGCTTCAGTGAGGAATGTTAAAATTCACAATGTGGTGCTATAAAAACTATGTGACTTCATCATGCTTCTCAGTCATCATTTTCTACATTGCTACTCCATAGACTTGGCATTTAGTAGTTAAGTTTTGGCATACATATATGTCAAGCCATCAAAATCAAAATAATGCACATATTCCTCACTTCCAAAACTTTCTTCCTGCCCATTGTAATTCCTCACTTCTGCCCTTCACCCTCACCCATAGGAAACCACTAATCTGCACCCTGTCACTGAAGATTAGTTTGCATATTCTGGAATTGTATAAATGGAATCATACTCTATTTACTCTTTGTATGACTTTTCTCAATCAGCATATTTTTTTTGTCGAGCTTTATGGATCTGAGGGTTTGTAGGTTTATCAAATTTCAATCACTTTGGCTATTAGTTCTTGAAATATTTTTTTTTCTGTCTCTCTTCCCCTTTGGGAACTTTGATTGCATGTGGATTAGGCCACTTGAAGTTGTTTCACAACTCACTGACACTCTATTCTTTTGATTTTGAGTCTCTGTGTGTTTCATTTTGGAAAGTTTTTATTACTATGTTTTCAAGATCACTAATCTTTTCTTCTGCAATGTTTAATCTGCTATTAATCCTACCAATTATGTTTTCTCATTTTTGACATTGTAGTTTCATTTCTAGTTCAATTTGGGTCATCTTATATATATTTTATATGTCTGCACATTATTTTTTTCTCTAGCTTCTTAAATCTATGGCATACAGTTTATAATTATTTTAATGTCTTTGTCTGCTAATTCAATCATCTGTATCATCTCTTGCTATGATTTTGATTGATTTTTCCTCTCATTATGAGTTATGCTTTTCTGCTTCTATCTATGCCTGGCAATATTTGATAGGATGCCAGACATTTTCAAAATTATGTTTTTGGACACTGGACATTAACATATTCCTATAATTATTCTTGAGCTTCATTCTGGAATTCAGTTAAATTATGTGGAAACAGTTTGGTTCTTTAAACTCATTTGTTTCCTGTCCCTGAAGGAGTATCGTCGTTCACTGCTTGAGACCCAGTGTCTTGAGAGCCATTGTTTTATATATTTTGTTCAGTTTTTAGTTGTTTCAGGTAAAAGTTTAAATCCAGCCCCTGTTATTATATCCTTGTTGGAAATGGAAGTCTCTTGATTATTTTTATTATTTCTTCTTGCATTTTATTTTCCTTTTTCTCATTCACTTTTTAAACATCTTCTAATTTATCTAATCTTTCATCTTTTTAACTTTCTTTTACTTATCCACTGCACCACACATAATTTTTGCTGAATGGCACAAACTATACTGATCTTGCCCATATTTGGTAGACATGGGTATGTGCAGAGACATTTAAAATATTAATGAACTCATCTGCATTTTAATCAAGATATTGAATCTTTTTAAACACTGAAGTGGTATTAAATACCCAACTTTCTTTCTTTTTCTCCCTTAGCAATTAACACATCCATTTCCCACATTCAACACCTCCTCTCATTTGGGCTTCTATATGTTTTTTTCTCTGTCATTCCACTTGGTTAATTTTACCAAGTGTGCTTTGATTTGAGATTTCTATTTTCTAGTCACTTCTTACAAGTTTCTTTCTAGATAAAAGTCTGTGGCATGATGTCATTTATTACAACTCTACTTTTAGCATTAATAGAATAGTTTTCCTGAGTTAACTTGCTTTTGTTCAGAAAAAAATGTGGCAGGGTTTAGTAATTAAACTCTTACCTCTGCATGTGCTGGCTGTTTGAAGACAATCAATTCCACCTATATAGGGATTACTAGTCCAGGCATTGTTTTAAGTGCTTTATATACAGTGTATTAACTCATCACATTCTCAAAACAACTCTATAAAGTGGGTACTATCATCATCCCTAGTTTAGAGATAGGGAAACTGAGGCAAAGAGATTGAGTGATCTACCCAAAGTCATAATACTTCTAAGTGATAGAGCTGACTCTAGAGTCTGTGCTCTGTGAGTTTATGATATGTTGCTTCCCTTCATTGTGTAAATTTATTACATTTCTATCAACAAGTTCATTAATATGCTCTACGGCAATCTAGTGTAACTTGCACTTTCTAATTTCATTAAACTTCTCAGACATGACAAGTCACACAGCCACACACACACAAAACCATTTCAGGGAAGTGCTCATGAACAAGATGATCTTTAGCAATTTCGTAAATATTTTTGCCTAAAATGTATTTGTTTTTTAAGGTTGATAGAAGGTAGATAACAAAACCCATTACCATATTTACATGTCCTAATTTTTGATACATCACTTCACATGTACTAAATGTTTTTATACCTATGTTTCTGTTGTTTTTTGGTCTGGAATAGATACTGTGGAAAATCGATCCCGCCTTCTCTGACCAGCAGTGCTAACTCATTAACGCTGATATTTGTGGCTGACTCTGACCTTGCTTATGAAGGCTTTTCAATAAACTATAAAGCAATTGATGCATCAACAGGTAACAAAACATCAGGGTATACTTGGCTTCATGTACTGAATTACAAAACAGTACTGACATCTAACATACGATGAAAGTACTTTATCCCCAAGCCTGTGGCACACAACGACAGTTGTATTTGGAATAAAATGTAGTGGCTTAAATACCTTCCTTACTAAAAACAGAGTAATGATTAGAAAAGAGTATTGTAATATAAAAATATAGAATTAATATAGAATTTTAATATAAAATTAATATAAAATTTTCTAATTTTGATATTTGTACTCTGGTTTTGTAAGAGAATGTTTTTGTTCTTGGAAAAAAAATGTACTGAAGTTTCTAAAGGTAAAGACACATAATATCTTCAAATTACTCTGAAGTGGTTCAGATAGTAAGTGAGTAAGAGAGAGAGAGTCAGAGAGAGAGGGTGAGAGAGAATGATAAAACAACGGGGGCAAAATACAAATAAGCAGTAAATCTGGGTAAAAGGAATTTGGGAGCTCATTCTTGCAACTTTTTGCAAGTTTAAAATTCTATCAGAATAAAAAGTTAGCAAGGAGACTGAATACTTATTTTAAGAAATCAGAAAAAAGACAACATATAAAAATGAGAAACTACTGCATGGAAACCTAGGGCAGAAAATAGAAGCTTTTTTGGCAAATATATACATTTCTAAATTTGACCTAATAAAATTAACCTTTTTACCATTTATTCTTTTATTGTATTTTACTTATTACTTAACTTCTTATTATTACTACTCTCTTTCCAAGTGTACAGTAGAAAACAAATACGTTTATAGGCAGAGTCTTCGAGATAATGTGTGAACTAGAGATGTCCCCAGCGCGCAAAGCCTATGAGATTTATGAGGATGTCAGGTTTCAATGGGCTCATGTTCCACCGGGGATGTGTACCTTTTTAGAGAACCTGGGCTTTCCTTCTTCATCATATTTAGGAAGATACTGTTACTGAACCGAATGGAGTTTGTTTGCCTGCTCGCAACAGAAAGGCAAACACTGAAGCATGGGTCTTTTCAGTAGAGAAAAAGGTTTATTCACAAGATGACCAAGTGAGAAGACAAGGGGTATTTCTCAAACCCACTTTGTCCATTGCGAGAGCGATGCTATACTTATGGGGCAACAGTCAGGAGTGGGACGAGGGTCTGCCCAGTGCGCGCCTCTGTAGGTGCAGAAAACGGTGGGAACAGGAGTCGTTTTTTTTCGGACATTCGCGCAGGCGCAGTAGAGAGGTCCGCCGGCCCAACCTTCCTAGCCTGCTCTGTGTTTGGCTAAGGCAACTCCAAGGATCCTGAAAAACGCCCTTAGACACACTGTTAGAAGTCACAACTCATGACTTCTACAACGTAGGGATTATCTGAAAAAAGGCAGATAGAAAAAAACAGAAGGAGAGGTTAGTTATGGAATTTTACAGAAAGAACGATCGATTTAAATAGGGAATAAATTTTAGCTGAAAATCCGCGGTTACTTATCATCGGGTGTAGGTCCCTAACAGGCATATGACGACTGTGCTTCCCAAGCACTGCTCAGCGTCTGGATTGCCCCAGAAGCCTGGTGCCATTCACTGAACTCCCTTTAGAAAGGACTGGAAGCTTTTCCTGTGCTGGGATGTGCTCCCTCTGACACAGTCTTGCATCCAGAGATCCCCAAATACTCATCTTTTGAAGGCCCCACTCCCCCAAAATAAATAAAATTTAAAGTATCCCCTTCAGAATCCCTACACAATTTCTCATTTGTTTCTCCTTCAGAGAGGCTGCCCACTACTCTTCATTTGAGGCAAAATTGGTGTTCTCTACAGTAGTTCAAGTTCTGTGCTTTGGAAACTTGGCTTTAGATTTCTCCAGAATCCTCAGTGTGAGAGAATCATACTTTTGTCTTTCTGGTGGGACCCTCTCTAAGAGACAGTTCATTATCCAGTCAAAGCTCATGGGAAATCGAATCCTCAGGAATCATAATAGGTTATGTCCTGCGATTGACACATCCATTAAACTTTGTTCAGGTAGTTAACATGCAATGACCAAAATTGGTTTCTCAAGAAATTTGAGTGTGTGCACAATTTTCCACACTTTCGTAGTTTTATGTTTGGCCCCAAGCCACACTGAATATTAGATTAGGATTTGAAGCAAGTCATTTGTACTTTCTGGGCCACTGTTTTCTCATCTGTAAAATTAAGGGATTGGATTTGATGATCTTTGAGATGTCTTCTGGCTCAAATCACCTATGAACGTAATTTTAATTTACTGCATGAATAAACTAGCTGTATCTTAGATAATGTATAATGAATGTAAGGAGGGCCTCCTGAAAATACCATGGAAATCCTTATAACAATATGCAAGTAAGACATGTCTCTGTAAAACAGCTCTGCTGTAACTCTACTAGCTTGTAAAGCAATATTTAGTGCAGAAAGAACCAAGAGCAATCGAAATTCTGGCAGGGAACATGTTAAATTTTAATTTAAAAAAAAAGTTTCAGAAAGATAAAATACAGATGAAATAAAAATGAGTCAAGAAAAGGGATAGAAGCAAACTGGATGGAAAAAGAAAGTGATAATGAGAGCAGAAGAAAAAGCAAGTGACAAAAGAGAGGGGGACACTGAAGTGGCAAACTCAGAGGATTCTCCAACCTGCTTCCCTGAGTGATAATCATTATTTGGCCTCTGTTTGGTTCAGACACGGTGCAAATCACAGATGAGTAAGTGTTCACTTTCTGTCCCTTGGCTGAGTCTGGCTGGTTACTGTGCACATGCCTTTTGCTGGATCATTCTAAGTAGCAATCAGATGATTGGATCCAGGAAGCCATTCGGCACCTTTAACTTATAATTCTGGAGCCTGCCACAGTTTCCCATAGATCAGGCCTTGAGCGACTGGCTCTCATGAGCTGTTGAGGGAGGGCCCTTCAGTGTTTCTCTGGGGGCCTGAGTGGGGATTGGGCTGGTGACGCCAGGCAATGGGCAGGCCCTCCAAGGCAGCTGAGTGAGAGCAAGCTACTGACTTGAAAATACGAATGTGTTGGGACTCTTTCTTTTCTGTTGTGATCTTATTTCAGATATTTTCTGCAGAATAAAATAGTTTTAGGGAAAAGTGTCAATGGATGTTTAATCATTGGCCATCATCCTATTTTATTGCTTTAGCAGAAGTTATTTTCAGAGCAATAATGATGGCATTGGGTGGTTGATTTCTAGCTCCTCGGCTGAACGGTTATGAGTTTCCCTGCTGAAGTCTTTCCTGTCTTCATCTGATAAAGGTTAAGTTTCCGGATTTGAATTCAGTTACTTTTCCGTCTGTAGTTTGTGCCATGTGGCTGGCTATGATGTCAACCCCTAAATATCTGTTTGCGAGGAAAGAGATCGGCTTCTTGTCATTACTTTGACTCACTGCCTTATCACTTTGTTTCTGCCTTTCTCCAGATGTGCCTGAGGAAATAGAAAGGAAAAAATTAGCAAGTAAAATACTCGTGTCAAAACTTCTAAAAATGTGGAATAGAATAGAAAAGAACAGAATAGAAAGTATTAGAGTTTATCATACAAAGTTAGGTGTCACTTCATGAAACCTGTTTGTATCTATGTGTATGTGCATGGCTGATGTAAATGTATTTTTTTATGATATGTCAAGAAAATTAGAAACACAAATCTAGTCCAATTACCTTAATTTTTAAATGAGGGAGATAGCAGTCTAGAAGGTTGAATTTATGCCCCCAAGAATACACAGCTAGTTTGTTTGGAAGCCTGACTAAACAATGAGATCCAACATGTAATTCATTTCCTTTGCCGTATCTGGATTAGCTCTTGGAAATGTTCTAGATGAACTACACATGGTATGATGGTAACATTCTATTCAGAGCTACAGTAGAACTGTGGTGGACTTTTCATATTTTCTGCAAAGTGAAGAGCTTTACAGCTGTTTAGGGAAATGACCAGAAATGATCATAACCACATCAATGTAGGGTTAAAGGTGAGCCCTACTGGACTTTCCCAACTTCCTTATTCCCAACGCAGAGTTCCCGCCCACCTCCCACTAGATGTTTAGTGTTGTTCTTCATCAGACATCCTGCAATGAGCCCAGAAAAGATATGTGGGAGAGTGAAGTTAAGAAATGGTGACCAGAAGGGCCAAAGAGTGTTTCTTTAAAAGAAATGGGTTGAGAGAGTTCTGTTTCTATTTTAGAACTTTGATCTGGTTGGGCAGCATTGTCAAACTCTAGGGTTCATAAAAAACTTGGGGCAGGTGGGATTTTCTTGTTACCAATTCAGGTATCAGGGCTAGGATCTAGGTTGCATTTTTACCAAATAATTCAAATGGTTGTAATGAAACTTTGTTTTTGTAGTTCATCTAAGACTTGGAAAGTCAACTTAGGACATAAATTGCTATAGAATTACAATGGTGGTGTAAAGATGGATTGGACAGTAACCATGCATGAAGGAAAGCACTATTCATGATACACTGAAAGGGGAGGCTGGAGGGGCAATCAGAAGTCTTGGTTGTAGTTCCAGCCTTGATACTAACTTGGAGTACTTCGGGCAACTTACAAGCCTCTCTGATTCTTTTTATCCTTTTTTTCTTTATTTTCTGCTATGAGATATTTAGATATTTTCACTCTGGAAAAGATCTTTCAGTATGTCCATTAATCTTTTAAAGATTTACCTTCATATTGGTTAGAGTTTTCTTATATTTTTGTATATATGGGTTTCCCAGCACTTCCCAGCTCAGTTCATTTATCTTATTTATTGTATTTCTCACTCTCTAGAATGGAAATGCTGACTGCAATGCTTAATGGTGATATTCCTAGTTGCCTACTTGTCTTCATTCTTAAACTGACATTTCCTGCTTAGAAAAACCAGGGATTGTTAAAGAGCACATGATTTGGAAAGGGAGGACTTGAGTTTAAATTTTATCTTGGCCGTGTCAGAACTAAGTGATTTTCAGAACTTAATCTTCAGGAGTCTTAAATCCCTTATCTGCTTGTATTAGTCAATTTCTGTTGCTTTTAACAAAATACATGGAACTGAGTA